AGGGGAGACATGATCGAAGTGTATAAGTGGAAGATGGGTATTAATAAGGGGGATATTAGCAAGGTCTTGAGGATATCTCTCCAGGAGAGAACCCGCAGTAATGGATTCAAATTGGACAAGTCTAGATTTAGAAGGGATGTAGGAAAGTATTGGTTTGGAAATAGGATAGTTAATGAGTGGAACAGTCTACCTAGTTGGGTTATTGAGGCTAGGACTTTGGGTAGTTTCAAATATAGGTTTGGAAAAAATACTGATGAGAGGGGTTGGATTTGAGTTATCAGAGCTTATTTCTTGGGTGGCATTGAAAATTGGGTTGGGCAAACGTTTTGTTAGCGGGATGGATTGTAAAGGACCTGCCTAGTATGGGCCAACAGGCTTTCTGCAGTGTTCCTCCTTTCTTATGTTCTTATGTACTTTTTAACAAGTCATTAGAAACTAGCACTTTCCCGACACTACTCAAGACAGCAAGGGTTACACCAATACATAAAGGTGGTGACCCTACAGACGTAAACAACTATAGGCCAATATCAAACTTACCATTGCTATCCAAAATCTTCAAGAAACTCATGCACAGGAGACTGTATTCATTTATAACGTCACAAAACATACTCAACCCCTGCCAATTTGGATTCAGGAAAAATAAAAGCACTAATGATGCAATTATAATGCTAGACCTGCTTTACACAGCATTGAAAAATAAGGAATATCCGCTAGGAATTTTTATTGACCTAAGAAAAGCGTTTGACACAGTAGACCACGGCATCCTACTCCACAAACTTGACCACTATGGTGTAAGAGGCCATGCGCTTGCATATTTTAAATCCTACCTTTCTAATAGGTATCAGTATTATTTTTATTTTTTATTATCACACTGGCCAATTCCCACCAAGGCAGGGTGGCCCGAAAAAGAAAAACTTTCACCATCATTCACTCCATCACTGTCTTGCCAGAAGGGTGTTTTACACTACAGTTTTTAAACTGCAACATTAACACCCCTCCTTCAGAGTGCAGGCACTGTACTTCCCATCTCCAGGACTCAAGTCCGGCCTGCCGGTTTCCCTGAATCCCTTCATAAATGTTACTTTGCTCACACTCCAACAGCACGTCAAGTATTAAAAACCATTTGTCTCCATTCACTCCTATCAAACACCTCACGCATCCTGCTGGAAGTCCAAGCCCCCGCCCCACAAAACCTCCTTTACCCCTCTCTCCCCAACCTTTCCAGGCCGACCCCTACCCCGCCTTCCTTCCACTACAGACCGATACACTCTTGAAGTCATTCTGTTTCGCTCCATTCTCTCTACATGTCCGAACCACCTCAACAACCCTTCCTCAGCCCTCTGGACAACAGTTTTGGTAATCCCGCACCTCCTCCTAACTTCCAAACTACGAATTCTCTGCATTATATTCACACCACACATTTCCCTCAGACATGACATCTCCACTGCCTCCAGCCTTCTCCTCGCTGCAACATTCAGTATCAGTATGTCACCATTAAAGACACAGCCTCATCAATACGACCACTTGATACTGGAGTTCCGCAGGAAAGTGTCCTTGGACCCCTGCTCTTCCTCATTTACATCAATGATCTTCCAAACATATCCCAACACCTGAAACCCATTCTCTTTGTTGATGACACGACTTATGTCATCTCCCACCCTAATCTTTCCACCCTTAACACCATTGTTAACGAGGAGCTGCTCAAAATATCGACTTGGATGACAGCCCAAAAAACTTACACTTAACACTGGCGAAACCCACTGTAATTAAAGTCTGGAGCAGAGCAGGTGTTGCACAACTTTAAAATTAAGATTGACAACACTCTAATTGCCAGACATAATGAGGGCAAATTCCTTGGCCTATACCTCGACAACAACCTAAATTTCAGCATCCATATTCAACACAACAAAAAAAGTATCCAAAAATGGGGGGGTCCTCCCCAAGATACGATAACTACGTGCCGCAAACGCCCCCTTCTCACACTATACCATTTACTTATATATCCATACTCACCAATGCTATCTGTTTCTTGGGGTTCAACTGCAGCAACACACCCTAAAGCCAATAATAACCCAACAAAAGCCGCAGTAAGAAAAAATCACTAAATCCCATCCCTGGCAACACACCCCCCCACCCCGTCCTAGATCTAAACTTGCTCCCTGTTTCAAAAATCCACACTTACTACTGTGCAATCTGTATCTACAGGACCTTAAATTCCAATATTAACCTTGACCTAAAACGCTTTCTTGATAGTTGTGACAGGATCCACAGCATAACACCAGACACAAGCATCTCTATACATTCCCCATGTTCGACTAAACCTTACAAAAATTCAATGTATTCAAAGGACCTAAAATCTGGAACACCCTACCTGAAAACTCTAGAACGCAGACACATTCATCACTTTCAAAAAAGTTAGAAAACATCTTATCTCCCTGATCCACCCCGACAACTAACTACAGATAACCACCTGGTGGTTCACAATTTCACTCACTCACCCACTGACTATAAACCTAGAAATACTAATCTTAATCTTAAAATAATAAATCCTAACTAGTCATAAGTTTGCCTATGATACTCCAATATAGACACTTTGTATTGTGCCCAAACAAAAGCATTCACATTGCTAAACTCACAAATTATGATGTAGTCACTTAGCCTTAATACCATAATCTGTAAGGATTTAATGTTAAGAATTAATCTAAGTCTGCTCAAAATGCCTAGCCATGCTAGGTGTCCTAGTGGCCCCCTCTGTAATTAGTATTTTATAACATGCAAACCACAAAATACCCAAAACCTGTAAACCCCACATTGTAACCATTATAGAGAATAAACTTGAATTGAATTGAATTGAATAGGAGGAAAGTGGTTTTTATGACTTGACGTGCTGTTGAAGTGTGAGCAAGGTAACATGAAGGGATTCAGGGAAACTGGTTGGCCAGACTTGAGTCCTAGAGGTGCAAAGTACAGTGCCAGCATTCTGAAGGAGGGGTTAGGATATTTGCAGTTTAAAACTGTAGTATCAATGCCCCTCTCACAATACAGTGATGGTGTGATTTATGGTGAAAGTGTTTCTTCTTTTTTGGTCACCCTATCTCGTTGTGAGATATTATATTATTTACAATACATCATACATACATAAAACATACATAAATAATACATACATACATATATACATAAATATACAACTATATACATACATATAACATAATACATAAAAATATACATAAATATAACATATATAATAACAAAATAAAAATACATAATATAAATATATATATAATATATATATTAATAATATATATAAATAAATATATATATATATAAAAAAATACCACTTCAAAACACTTTTGAAACACTGCTTTGGGTAAAACTTTTTTTAAAATTTGAAATGACCTTTTTGGTCCAGGGATGGAGGGAGGAGTTTTTAGGGGCAAAAATTTCACTTTGATGAAACAAAACCCCCCCACAATTCGCTTTTCCCAAACGGAGGCAAAGCAGCACCCCCAAAGCAACACAGGAATCACATGACCCCACTGCCTTCCTGACCTCATCTCAAATTGTAAAATTTTTCAGGTCCGTGTGTGGGTGTAATAATATATATATATATATAATATATATATATATATATTATATATATATTATAAATATTATATATAATATAATACATGGACCCCCGGAAAACGATTTTAATCCGTCCCAAGGGGGGCTCATCTTATGGAAATAACGTTATGCAATAAAATTTTCCCCATAAAAAATAAGGAAAAAAAATTAATCCTCAAGAGCCCAAAATTATGAAAAAATTTTTTTTTACCACATAAATTTAATTTTAATACACACAAACTGAAAAAGGCATCACAATTAAATGACACTTTCTTTTATTAAGATCGGTGAGATTGATGGGATGGGAGGAAAGGGGAGGCATTATCTTCTTACTGTTTTTGAAGGGGAATCCCCTTCCTTGGACGAGGAGCAATCCTTTTTTCCGGGGTTACTTCCCTTCTTCTTTTAACCACAGGGCCAGCTTGAGAATCCCTGGACCCTTTCGCCAACAAATCTGTCCATGAGCTCTTACCTCCCTTCCTTTACGATTTTTCTAAAATGGCCACAACTTGTCATTGAAATAGTCACCAGCACGGGTTTTTCAACGCTGGTCAGGGTGATTTTCATCTATAAAGGTTTGCAGTTCAACCCACTGTGCACACATTTCCTTAATCTTTGAAGTAGGCACAATGGATTCCACAACTGGCATAGGCTTCTCAGGGTTACCCCCAAAACCCCTTTCCCAAAATCTTTCTTAATTTCCATACTAATTCTCACCCTTTTTTTACCACAGGGTTGGCACTAGAAGTTTTTCTTGGGCCCATGGTCCTTATTTTCCAGAAACAGCACCGAAAACACTGTAATAATACGAAATATTCCGAGTGAAATGCTTGGATGTTACCGCGGAGGCTGGCTGGTAAACAATGGGAGGGCCCGGGCACATTGTGAGGGCACATTGGACGCGTCTCGGACGAAAATCGGTAAGCGGGTTTTTAATCGGGATGCGCGCAAAAAATTTTGCGATAAAAGTAATCGTTATGCGGAAAAATCGCTATGTGATGCCATCGTTATGCGGGGTCCACTGTATATATATATATATATATATATATATTATATATATATAAATATAAATATATATATATACATATACATATATATCTTTCTTTCTTTCAAAACACCGGCCGCATTCCACCGAGGCGGGGTGGCCCAAAAGGAAAAACGAAAGTTCTCCTTTTACATTTAGTAATGAATACAGGAGAAGGGGTTACTAACCCCTTGCTCCCAGCATTTTAGTCGCCTCTTACAACATGCATGGGTTACAGGAAGAATTCTGTTCCACTTCCCCATGGAGGGTTTTATATATAAATATATATATATATATAAATATATAATATATATATATTATATAATATATATAAAATTTATTTTTTTATTTATTTATTTATTCCCTTTTTCAGACATTAATCAGGTGATATTAGAGCGTTCGGCGCTTGCTGAAGTAAATGGTCAGGCGTGGGACATGCATCGACCACTGGAAGACAATTGTTCACTCTCCTTTCTGCACTTCAGACAGGTGAGACCTCTTGACACATCATTCATAATTTTCATAAAGCACCTATCTCTAAAATGCTTACATAACTCTAAAACACCTACCTACCTACCACAAACACCCACCTACCTCTAAAATGTGTGTGATAAAGGGTTTGAAAACCTACAGGTTGAAGAGTGAGACATGCAACATAAAGGAATCTTTATTAAGGAAATGTTTCACCACACAGTTGCTTCATCAGTCCAGTACATAGCAGAGAGGTGTAAGGTTGTTAGTTCCACTGTGATCCTGCCTCCTCCTGCTTCGACTCACCTGTCTATAGTATTTAAGCCATTTCTCTGGCCACATGCTGTACTTTCTACAAGATTGATGGACTGAACACATCGATTCCAGGCTGAGAGACTGATTCCCTCAAACTACTCCTCTCCTGACCCCTCTCTGCTTTGTATTGGACTGAAGAAGCCACTGTGTGGTGAAACGTTTCCTTAATTAAGATTCCCATATGTTGCATAGGTGTCTCAATCTACCTCTAAAACACCTGCCTACCTCCAGAGCACCTACCTACCTCAAGAACACCTACCTACCTCGAGAACACCTACCTACCTACCTACCTCCAGAACTACCTACCTACCTACCTCCAGAACACCTACCTACCTACCTTCAGAACACTTGCCTACCTACCTCCAGAACACCTACCTACCCTCAGAACACCTACCTACCTCCAGAACACCTATCCACTTCCACAACACCTTCCTACCTCCAGAACACCAGCCTATTTCCAGGACACCTGCCTACCTCCAGAACACCTACCTCCAGAACACCTAACTACCTCCAAAACACCTATCTACCACCAGAACTCCAACCTATCTCCAGAATATCTGCCTACCTTCAGAACACCTACCTACCTCCAGAATAACTTGCCTCCAGAACACCAACCTACTTCCAGAACACCAACCTGCCTCCAGAACACCAAAAACCTCCAGAATACCTGCCTAACTCCAGAACACCTACTTACCTCCAGAACACCTGCCTACCTTGAATAGGCAGTGCCACGATCGCACGTGCAAAGAAAATGATAGGATGGATAATGAGAACTTTCAAAACGAGAGATGCCAAGCCCATGATGATCCTTTTCAAATCACTTGTTCTCTCTAGGCTGGAATACTGCTGTACATTAACATCTCCATACAAAGCAGGTGAAATCGCAGATCTAGAGAGTGTACAGAGATCCTTTACTGCACGTATAAGTTCTGTCAAGCACCTTAACTACTGGGAACGCTTGGAAGCACTTGACTTGTACTCGTTGGAACGCAGGAGGGAGAGATAAATTCATAACTACACTTGGAAAATCTTGGAAGGAATGGTCCCAAATCTGCACACAGAAACACTCCCAACGAAAGTAAAAGATGGGCGGGCGATGCAAAATGCCGCCAATAAAAAGTAAGGGCACCATTGGTACACTAAGAGAAAACACCATAAGTGTCCGGGGCCCAAAACTGTTCAACAGCCTCCCATCAAGCATTAGGGGAATTGCCAATAAACCCCTGGCTGCCTTCAAGAGAGAGCTGGACAGATACCTAAAGTCAGTGCCGGATCAGCCGGGCTGTGGCTCGTACGTCGGACTGCGTGCGGCCAGCAGTAACAGCCTAGTTGATCAGGCCCTGATCCATCGGGAGGCCTGGTCATGGACCGGGCCGCGGGGGCGTTGATCCCCGGAATAACCTCCAGGTAACCTACCTCCAGAACACTTACCTACCTCCAGAACACCTGCCTACCTCCAGAACACCTATATACCTCCAGAACATCTACCTACCTCCAGAACATCTACCTACCTCCAGAACATCTGCCTACTTCCAGAACATCTGCCTACTTCCAGAACACCTACCTACCTCCAGAACACCTATCTACCTCCAGAACACATCTACCTCCAGAACACCACCTACCTCCAGAATAGCTGTCTACCTCCAGAACACCACCTACCTCCACAACACCTGTCTGCCTCCAGAACACCTACCTCCAGAACACCTGCTTACCTCCAGAACACCTGCTTACCTCCAGAACACCTACCTACCTCCAGAACACCTGCCTACTTCCAAAACACTTGCCTACCTCCAGAAAACTTGCCTACCTCCAGAACACCTGCCTTCCTCTGGAACACCTGCCTACCTCTGGAACACCTGCCTTCCTCTGGAACACCTGCCTACCTCTGGAACACCTGCCTACCTCCAGAACACCTGCCTGCCTCCAGAACACCTACCTACCTCTAGAATACCTGCCTACTTCCAGAACACCTGCCTACCTCCAGAACACCTACCCACCTCCAGAACACCTGCCTTCCTCTGGAACACCTGCCTACCTCCAGAACACCTACCCACCTCCAGAACACCTGCCTTCCTCTGGAACACCTGCCTACCTCCAGAACATCTACCTACCTCCAGAACACCTGCCTACCTCCAGAGCACCTGCCTGCATACTTACCTCCAGAACACTTACCTACCTACCCCCCCATAACACCTGCCTACCTACTTACCCCCAGAACCCTATCTACATACCTCCAGAATACCTACCTACCTCCAGAACACCTACCTACCTCCAGAATACCTACCTACCTCCAGAATACCTACCTACCTCCAGAACACCTACCTACCTCCAGAACACCTACCCACCTCCAGAACACGTGCCTTCCTCTGGAACACCTGCCTACCTCCAGAACACCTACCTACCTCCAGAATACCTACCTGCCTCCGTAACACCTACCTACCTACCTCCAGAATACCTACCTACCTCCAGAACACCTGCCTACCTCCAGAACACCTACCTACCTCCAGAACACCTGCCTACCTCCAGAGCACCTGCCTGCATACTTACCTCCAGAACACTTACCTACCTACCTGCCTCCATAACACCTGCCTACCTACTTACCCCCAGAACACCTATCTACCTACCTCTAGAATACCTGCCTACCTCCAGAATACCTACCTACCTCCAGAATACCTACCTACCTCCAGAATACCTACCTACCTCCAGAATACCTACCTACCTCCAGAATACCTACCTACCTCCAGAACACCTACCCACCTCCAGAACACGTCCCTTCCTCTGGAACACCTGCCTACCTCCAGAACACCTACCTACCTACAGAATACCTACCTGCCTCTGTAACACCTACCTACCTACCTCCAGAATACCTACCTACCTCCAGAACACCTGCCTACTTCCAGAACACCTACCCACCTCCAGAACACCTGCCTTCCTCTGGAACACCTGCCTACCTCCAGAACACCTACCTACCTCCAGAATACCTACCTGCCTCCATAACACCTGCATACCTACCTACCCCCAGAACACCTATCTACCTACCTCAAGAACACCTACCTACCTACCTACCTCCAGAATGCCTACCTACCTCCAGAACACCTGCCTACTTCCAGAACACCTGCCTACTTCCAGAACACTTGCCTACCTCCAGAACACTTGCCTACCTCCAGAACACCTGCCTTCCTCTGGAACACCTGCCTACCTCTGGAACACCTGCCTACCTCTGGAACACCTGCCTACCTCCAGAACACATGCCTGCCTCCAGAACACCTACCTACCTCTAGAATACCTGCCTACTTCCAGAACACCTGCCTACCTCTAGAACACCTACCCACCTCCAGAACACCTGCCTTCCTCTGGAACACCTGCCTACCTCCAGAACACCTACCCACCTCCAGAACACCTGCCTTCCTCTGGAACACCTGCCTACCTCCAGAACACCTACCTACCTCCAGAATACCTACCTGCCTCCATAACACCTGTCTACCTACTTACCCCCAGAACACCTATCTACCTACCTCAAGAACACCTACCTACCTACCTCCAGAATACCTACCTACCTCCAGAACACCTACCTACCTCCAGAACACCTACCCACCTCCAGAACACCTGCCTTCCTCTGGAACACCTGCCTACCTCCAGAACACCTACCTACCTCCAGAATACCTACCTGCCTCCATAACACCTGCATACCTACTTACCCCCAGAACACCTATCTACCTACCTCAAGAACACCTACCACCTACTCCCCGAAAAACCTACCTACTCCCGAACACCTGCCTACTTCCAGAACACCTACCCACCTCCAGAACACCTGCCTTCCTCTGGAACACCTGCCTACCTCCAGAACACCTACCTACCTCCAGAATACCTACCTGCCTCCTAACACCTGCCTACCTACTTAGCCCCAGAACACTTATTTACCTACCTACTCCAGAATACCTACCTACCTCCAGAACACCTGCCTACTTCCAGAACACCTGCCTACTTCCATAACACCTGCCTACTTCCAAACACCTACCCACCTCCAGAACACCTGCCTTCCTCTGAAACACCTGCCTATCTCCAGAACACCTACCTACCTCTAGAATACCTACCTGCCTCCATAACACCTGCCTACCTACTTAGCCCCAGAACACCTATCTACCTACCTCAAGAACACCTACCTACCTACCTCCAGAATACCTACCTACCTCCAGAACACCTGCCTACTTCCAGAACACCTGCCTACCTCCAGAACACCTACCCACCTCCAGAACACCTGCCTACTTCCAGAACACCTGCAAGGCTCCAGGCAGACATCAACCGAATCTTTCAGTGGGCTGCAGAAAACAATATGAAGTTCAACGATGAGAAATTTCAATTACTCAGATATGGTAAACATGAGGAAATTAAATCTTCATCAGAGTACAAAACAAATTCTGGCCACAAAATAGAGCGAAACACCAACGTCAAAGACCTGGGAGTGATCATGTCGGAGGATCTCACCTTCAAGGACCATAACATTGTATCAATCGCATCTGCTAGAAAAATGACAGAATGGATAATGAGAACCTTCAAAACTAGGGAGGCCAAGCCCATGATGACACTCTTCAGGTCACTTGTTCTATCTAGGCTGAATATTGCTGCACACTAACAGCACCTTTCAAGGCAGGTGAAATTGCTGACCTAGAAAATGTACAGAGAACCTCACGGCGCGCATAACG